TTTCCGTCGGATGAAAGAGAGGACGAGAAGGGGGCCAGCGGCACCGTCCGGACGAGAGGGTCCAGAAATGGTTCACATCGGCAGTGAAGTCAAAGTCCTCAGGTGGTTGGCTGACAAGACTGCCAACAGCAAAAGCAGCGGTTGTGCTTGCGACTTAGATGGAGCCCCTAGGGTTGGGGGTTCTGGAGGGGTCGGGGCTGTCACTTGGGAGGGCCTTTTGTGGGATGGACAAATGTTGAGTCAAGTGCGGTTCACATGCTGTATCTTCGTGCTATGAATAGAGGACTAGGTTGGAGTTAACAATTCCCACTGGCTACCCTAGAAAAGGATAGAAAAGAAGTATGTCCTCCGATGACGCGGTTGCGATTTCATCCAGGATGAGGGACAGTTCACCGTGCTTCTTGCGAGGCGAGTTTCTGCTACTTTCACCAGGTCATAATATCTCATGATGTGGCATATGTATGGGAACACATTTGTGATTCAGCTCAGGGTTGATCTATGGGATCATTGCCATACTCACTCATGTGCTATCACCCTTTTGACAAGTCCATCAATCAAGTGGAAAAGGCTCTTGTTTCTGAGGCCTTGCGGCATCCAGCTACTGGCGAGGCCGGGTGCTGTAGCAACTCCAGAACATCTCATGCCTCATGCCATCTCATGCATGTGGCGAAACTATGTTTCTTACAGTATGGACCCGGGAACACCGGCACCAGAAAGGAGCACCCTCTAAGCGATGCGATTTCTCCACTTCTGCTCCGATTTCGCAAAATTGCTCGGCCTTGCGAACAAGCGACTGCACAGCTAGGCGGCCCCTGTTGGAGAGCGATACAACAGAGAGCCCATCCCAGATGAGGAGAGCTCATTGCACAGGCTGATCGTTGCATTTTTGCTGTTGGGCGCTTTGCTTTGCTTGGAAACATGTCGTGGCTTTCCTGAAGAAAAGGTGATCAGCAAAGCCACGGCAACAAGGACTAAAGGTGACTAATTGAAAAGAATGAAACGGTGACCATATTGACCAAAGTGACTAAAGGGACAAGGTTGTTGACTGGAGCTGTGCCACACCATGACATCTATAGGACTGGTGGCTTCGGGGCAACAATCGCTCCAAGGCAGCTCAGAATCGAGTTTCTTAGTTCAAGTTGAAGTGCCTTGTCCAGATCAGGCTGCAGTGCACGGAGACTTGAGTGCTTTTGTAAGTACAATACAGAGTTGATTCAACTCTTTGGAGATTCAAACTGTAGTAGAAACATGTAGAAACAAATTGCACTTTCTGCCATACATTCTGGAGTCCTTTCTGCCTGCCATACTTTCTGTCACACATTCTGCTTGCCAGCTACTAACCACTGCACCCTTCACCTTCTATGATGGCAACCCGCTCGGCAAGAAGCACTTCCAGGAGCGGAAGTTCTTACAGGAGCTTGGACACGTTCACTCCAGGTTTCTGAGGATCTTTGGTGTTCACTAACCACTAGCCAAGTTGTGCAATCAAGATTAACATTTACTCACCTACTATCTATATACTCATCAAGAGTATTCACTGTGCGTTTCAGTTGATCTACTCTGACAACAAAAGCCAGAATCAACATCCGCCAGGCTCAGTGTTTAGGACCAGAGCATTCTCGACGAGTGCCGGGCTCCAAGTGGAGGATGCGCGGCAGGATGCGGGTAGAGGTGGTCACCTCTCTTGTCTCAGGCTTACCTGGTGAAACACTTTGTGCCTTCTGAAAACTGCCTGGCTTGAGGAGTGCATGGGTTCAACCGGATTCAAGCAGGTTCCAAAAAGAGCTTTTCCTACACCGTGCACAGTTGAACAGTCGCTTTTCCTACACCGTGCGCCACGTTTCACTTCTTCTACACTGCTTGGTGGTCGGTCCCGTCGATGCTCGTTGCGCTCGTCGCGTGGATTGGCCGACCCATTCGTCGTCCGACCCGGTGGACTGGACAACCCTATCCCACACCGTCCGCGTTAAACAGTGTCAGATGGCGGCAGAGATCGGTGCCCCGTGGTGAATTTGAGCTGCCGGACCTGCTGGCGTCTCCAAACTGGTAAATCTAGACTGAGCTAAATGGCCAAAAAGGCCTCCAAAGACCGCCTAAACGGCCTAAAGCCACTCTTCAGTGGGAAGAGTGGAGGGTTTTTCCCGGAGCTCCAAGGGCTCAGCAGCTGGGCCGCATTGGCCACAGCTTCAGCGAAGCCAACCTGCAGGTGCTCAAAGAGGACCGGCCTTCCGCTGTGGCCAAACCGGCCAAGGTCTTGTTTTTTGACAGAAGCGGCAACTGAGGTCAATTTTTGTGTTCCCCACGTTGTGTCTCAAGTTGATGTTGGAAAGAAGATGAAATGATAACCAGGGCAGTTGAACCAAGAGATGCATAGAGATACATTCTTAAGGATGTGATAGCTACAGCCAAGAAAGATGGTCCACTTCGCAATCACAGATGCGTTTGCAAATGGATCATGATGCAGGACCCGATGGCCAGGCGATACATGTCCAAGAGGTATGCAGAAGTGATGGGGGAGAAGAAGTCTACTGAAAAACCTGAATGCCGACCAAGCGCTTCAAGCGCTCCCAAGAACTTCAAGAACAGTTCCAAAGCGCTTCCTGGCGTTGCCACGATTCCGGCGCCAAAGTTCCCAAAAGCAGAGCCTGGAACTGAGTGAAAGAGCACAAATAGTCCAGGAATCTTTGCTGTGATGCTGTTGTTTTGCAAGGACCTCCATGGTCAAGCCACCGAGTTAATTCACGCAATATATTTATATGTGTTTATATGTTGCACAGAGTCGAGAGTTGAGATGAGTTGTGTCAGAGTCTTTTTTGTCAAGTACTGTACGCCGTGGAATTGGTTGTTGGAAATCCCTAGCCGCCTTAGCCGAAGCCGCTCACTGTCAGCCATCGCCACCATTGGGCAGCTTCTGTGCAGGCTCCGCAGAACTATGGATGGGCGCAGCATCATTGTCCTGCACCTGTCTCAGATGTTGGTGAATTTAATCAGACGATCGAATTCTTGCAGTCTCGCTGCTGTTCCTGCTGACACAGCAACCCCATCCATCCTGTACGTACCGTTTTTGTAGCACCGCAGACTCAGATGAGACCCCAAGGCCCAATCCGCGGCTGCCTCGTGTTCAGGTTGGGATTTAATTGGTCCTTCAAGCTGTGAGAACGGCGGACCGACGGCTAAGAGAAACCAAGAAACGAGCTATTTCGGGACAGATCTCACGAGGACGGCTGAAGGTAGGATTTGCTCTTCTCCAGGAATCCCTGGATATTCATAGCCCTAGCCCAGCCATTCTGGGGCGACCCAAGTCCTCACCTCAGCCAAGCGATCCTACTTCCAGTGAGCTTTGAGAACATGCATAACATATCATAACATATCATGACATGGTAGAACATGCATGTGTTGTTTTGTTTTTTTGTTTTGCAAGCGACATCAGGTTCAACTACACCTTTGACTATGCAGGGGAACGGCTGGTCTTGTAGTTTCACACCGCGCGGGTCTGGTGAAATTCAAGAGCATGTCCTGTGAAGCAGGGTGGCTCCGACCTCCGACCTGCGCAGATTCCGCACCATTTACAGCGCACATCTTTGCACTTTTGCAATTCGGAGCATTGGCAGTTGCTGTTCATAGGTGCCCTTGACTGCCAGAAGTAGGCTCAGACTGCAGTTGGCATAGACGTGTATGGTTGTCTTCTCGAGAAAATGCAGCATGATGGTGGTCATGAACCGCATCCTGGCCACCAGAATGTAGTAGATGTAGTATTTGTTGGATGCCATGACCACCTACACGATGGTCATGTTGTGTTCTTCAATTTGTATCTCGAAGAAATGAAAGTCTTCATGATTGAAGTCTAAAAAAGTATTCTCATGATATCAGTGCGATTTGGCATGCATTGGGTCACTGGAGCCAGTGACTTTGTCTTTCCCATTCTCCCCTTACACAGGTGGTAATTTTCTCGATTTGTGCACTCCCGAACTGGCTGCACAACATCGCATCACCGCTGCCTTGGCTTCAGACAACCTCCACAAAACCCCAACCACTCCCACCACAAAATATTGCCCGAAGCTTGCGCTGAGACCTGAGTTACTGGCAGCAGAAACATGGATTCAGTATGTCCTCTTGATCATCATCATCATCATCATCATCGTCATCATCATCGTCATCATCCCCTGTTCCAGCTTCCGGTTCATCATGTGGCCAGACTCATGGGGAAGGGTTCAGAAGTGTTGAATGGTGACTGGCATTGACTGGCAGCTGTTCTATCAGAAATGAAATTTTCTAATAGCCCAGCTGGCGCCGCCCAACCCTGCTATTTAGGCTGCCAATTATCGGTGGTCGCAGTCACAAATGGCTTTTGCCTAAGAGTGTTTGTGATGCAACAATTGTCATGCACAGAAACACTGCCAGACCTGCGTGGACTCGAGTTCCTTGAGAGAAGAAGACATCATTGGGACTTATGACGTGTCATAAGTTTTGCTGAGTCATGGTCCATCATCTAAACTTGCACGTTTCTCGACATGTAGAGCCCTTGTGATCGACGAAAGATGCCCCGTTCTCAGGCCCTTTCCCTCACTCGAGGGTTTCGCGCCCTGCGTCCCAGAGGCAAGGTATTTGGACTGGATCAACTCCGTAGACTCGCCGTAGACTCCTTAAAGACCTAAAGTCTTCATGCGTTCGGTTTGAAGGATCTTCAAAGATGTTTCTAAAGTCATTCTTCCATATCCTTCCATGTTCCACATGAAGCTGTTAGGTGTTCCACCCTTGATCTGAAGTTTGCTCTTTGACCTGATGCTTCTGAGAGAAAGAAGGGGCCTTGATCTTTTTAGGGCCTTGGAATTACATGGGATGACCCTCCGTGTGATGTGTTGTCGGCCCGGCAGGTCTGCGAAGTTTTGCTGTGGGCGTGGCGCTGGCGGAGTTGCCTCCTGATCCAGCGATCCAATCGCTCCGCGCGCTGCGAATCGCGATCGCTCCGTCGCCAGGTCTACCAACGCACCAAACCGCACATGAACATCGGAACCATCGGCCACGTCGATCATGGACGCCTGGCAGATTTGGAAACTGGACACGCGAAAGAGCGGTTTTTGCTTTCAGCGCACTGGGCGTGTTTGTCATCAGGTAAAACCACCCTCACTGCCGCCATCACAAAGGCTCTCCAAACAGAATGCTGATGCATGCATACAGCTGGTTAGCTGGTTGTACAGGATCGTTTGCATGTTGCAGGTCATGGCTGATGAAGGAAGAGCTGAGTTCAAGGCCTACGACGCCATTGACAAGGCTGCAATGCCCTGCCTCAGCCGATGATTCTGTCATGCACTCTTCATCACTCTGCGTTTTCTTGCCAGCAACAAGGTTGTGGTCTTCACGGTGAAACAGTGTTTATCTTGCTTTTGTTGTCAAGGCACCAGAAGAGAAGAAGCGCCAGAAGCTCACAGCTCCCTCCAAAGTGTCATGTCCTGTGAAATACAGACCTATATACATATTATGGCATTAAATGCATTAGAAGAGAACACCAACCCATAGGCTCACTATGGCTCACTGTTTGAGGTGGCATCACCATCAACCAATCGCATGTGGAGTACGAAACAGACAAGAGGCACTACGGCCATGTTGACTGTTCGGACCTTAATGTATACTGGAGTGATTGATTCCCAGATTCAGGAGCCGCACGGCCATGCCGAGGTCCTGGGCATGCAGATTATGTGAAAAACATGATCACAGGAGTCCCTTTGCCGCATCCAGACCACTGAGATGGCTCCAATCTTCAGCTCTTCTATGCTTCGCAAATCAATTCAGGATGTATTTCAGGATCACTTTCGTGCAGAACCAATTGCCTTGACCCACTTGCCAAACTGTTTAAACAAGTGGGCATGGATGTGGCAGCGTATTTGAGCGAAATCACAGGCTGCACAGATGGACGGTGCGATCCTAGTGGTCTCAGGCAGATCTGCCACCGTGTTTTTTTCGCATTTTGCATGTGTGCATTCTTCCTTTGAAACGGTATTTAGCAATTTAGCAGCTCAGGTTCAATTTATTTGGGCAGATATTGCAGTATTCCAGCCTCAATGCTGGGGAAGATGCCACTTTTTAGACTCGCTTTTTCAGGCTACGACGGCCCTATGCCTCAGACACGCGAGCACATTCTGCTGGCCAGGCAAGTTGGCGTGTTTGGGAGCTCAGAGGATCGGACGAGAAGAGCGGAGGCACGGGAAGGAGGCACTGTCTCAGTCATCGGAGAAGGCGGTCAAGAGAAGGCTGTGGCTCAAAATACCGAGTCGATTTCAACATGGAACTTACGGTGTGCAGTAAGAACAACATAGTATCAATGAATATCAATGACATGAGGAGGACCACTTTCAATCCTGAAAGAACACTGGCATGTTCCATAACTAATTATAGTAATTAAATAATACGTTCATCCTACCGTCATCCTTCATCTCCTCCCCATCTCTCCCTATCAAAGACCCGAATGACTCTAGCAGACTCTTGCCATCTTCAAAATACCAACCCAACGGGCCCAACGCACCGCGACCATGGCCGCTGACCGTGCCGCACCCTTGGCCTCCCTGGTGGTGCACTACTCCCGCTGCGGCACCGAGCAGCTCTGGTGCTCCGAGCTCCGCGCCTCCGGCGCGTCCGATGGTCCTGAGGAGGCCGCGGAGCTCCGGAGGGCACTGGCCGAACAGACAGGCGGGGTGCAAAAGGGGGTGCAGGCATTCGGGGGGTGAATTAAGACTTTTACTCCCAAGTGTTAGGGTGGGTGGTTTCTTTGCATTGAATGAAGGTCAACAGAGCAAATGATGGATTTCGAAGTGATTTTGCTAGCGCATGCTGGCTCTCTTAGTGGCTCTCTTACCCTCCGAAACTCAGAAACAACATGAAAGAACCGGCCAATCAGAGTACATCAATGCACTGGAGAACTTGTTTGGAGATCTTGCACACAATTAGTTGTCCCTTGATTGTACTACCAACCCTATACTTTTGGATGATTGAACTCTCAAATGATGGTCTATGATGGTATTGTCTTGTGGAAAGTATATATCTCTCTCATCTCGACCCATTCACGCGGTCGAGGCATCCCCGCCAGCTCCATTGGCCTCAACGTCTTGCCACGTTTGCCGGGTGGGCCACAGAACGCTGTGAAGCCGGTCTCTGGTCAGAGAAGCCTGGCAGACATGGGTAAAGTAGTGGCTCTTGTTGGGGGCAAGTAAGTCACTTCAAGAAAAAAGGCTCATGGCTAAGGAGAGTTGTAGGAATGTTCACTGACTTGAGAGGATAAACTTGCACCGTTGATGGGACAACACCAAGCAGCTCGTGACGTCCCAAGGCTTGTTGGGCTTTCTGGAGCAAAGCTGCCGTGAGGCCAGGCAGATGACGAGAAAATACTTTCAACTAGTAGCAAGGTGCATCGCTACTAGTAGCAAGGACTCTACTAGTAACAGGTGCATTTCTATTAGTAACAAGAAGCTACTAGTAGCAAGGCATTGTCTAATGAAAAGACTTCAACTTCATGCATGCTTTTTGAAGCAGTGTGGCAGTGTAGTTGTATATCTATACAGACTACTTCTTTATACTACCTTTGTTTGAGTGATGATATAGCAGCTCAATCGAAACACCACCTGTGTCAATCAAAAACAGACATGGTGTTTGATGCAGAACGGGAAACATCGCTGGACCCTGGTTACGGTTTTGACCACTTTAAATTCCAGACCGGACCAGCGCTGCTCCGGAGGACCATGGCGTTTTTCAGCTGCGAGCCTCCTTCGATCACGTGAGCCATGAGTCCTACGTACAGGCGGGGCATGGTAGGTTCGCAGTCAAGAGCAAGGTCTGGGAGGAGATGCAATTAGAGGGAAAGTTTGATAGAGTGAGCCCGTTTTAGACGTTTTGAGGTCACAAGAAGCGTGATTTCAGCCAAGGCCACAGAAAAATTGTGATGTGTAGCAGTAGGTAACCTCCTTCAAAAGCGGCCTGAGGATGTAGAGAAAAGATGCAGTCAATCATAGTCAATGTATAACTACTAACACGCGGTCACTTGAGTCCAAGTGCGCGCTCTCGGCGGCGATGCCAGCGGAGAGCAGTCCGCATAACGCTGTGGCCGGTCGCAATGCCGGCAGGTCTTTGGTGAGACAAGCTAAGAGGCCATCACCTTCATGGGTCTAACCAAATCCTTACAAACCCTAATACCACAACCAACGCAAAAGGAAATCAAGTCACTGCGGGTCCGTTCCAACAACGAATCAGACCAGCAAAGGCGCGTGCCTCGCTGGGGTGCCGAGACCCCCAAAACATGTCAAGGTCAATGTCATGAAACTTTTGAACATCATCACAAAAATTCCTAGCGTAATCCCGAACACAAGAACGAACGAAGCGTAAAACGGAAGCACAAGTCTGATTTGGGTGAATGTAACTACTAACAAATTTGGGCTAAGGTGACAGATGCACAAAGGCTTGATTTTTTTCCCAGAGCTGCAAGCTATAGGTGTTCTTACTTCTCCATAGTGTGGCTCTGGATCGGCGCTTCGTTTTGCGGGTGCTGCTGCCGTGCTGGTGCTGGCTCTTGACATGTCATGCCAGGAACTACATCATGTCTTGCCAGGGATGACATCATGTCATGCTCAGCCTGACATCATGTCATGCCAGAGATGACATCATGTCATGGCAGGGATGACATCATGTCATGCCAGGGGGGACACCGTGTCATGCCAGGCATGACATCATGTCATGCCCGGGATGACATCATGTCATGCCATGGACGACATCTTGTCACGCCAGGGGTGACATGCTGTCAGATTGCGCATGATAGCGTGTTGCGCAGCAAGGATCATAGTGTGTGGCAGCTTTGGCTGGTCCTTGCCGATCTTGCAGCTTCACATGTGTGTTAGGCAAAGGGCGCACTCAGCTGATAATATGTTGCGCAAATTGGTGGGCTGGTCTGGTGTTGCGTGCTGCGGTGACCGCCGTCCGTGGCAGGCGTGTCCTTTAAACCTATACACCCGCAATCTGGGGCCTATGCCGGTGTAATTTAGCGTTGCCGTTCTTTTTGTGCAGTTTCCATCATCCCATGTATAAAGCAGGTGTGCTTTTTTGCAGCTTAACCATGCGTTGCAGCCAATCCTTAATTACTGACAGTTTGCAGAGAGATTTAGATGCAATGGTATGATGGATGGAGCATGCCCATCACACTCTCAAAAGACATGGCCGGCTTCTAGTGTGTTCGCGATTTTCATCCATTTTCTTCCCATGTCTTTCGGTCCAAATGTCCGACGTGCACGGATCATTTGAAACGGACACAACACACAACACCAAAAAATCATTTTTAAAACATCGAAATCTAAAAACATACCAAAACCGGTCATGTCGGGGAGACCGAGAATTTGACTTATGATCACCTCAGTCCGTTCGGGTGGCGCTTTGAGGTGCGAGTGGCCTTCCCAGGGACAGCCACCTCCAAAGCTGCAGCCAACAGCAGTGAGGCAGAGCCACCACCCATCGTCATCGAGCAGTTCGAACTGGAGGAGAAAAGCAATGTGGCTGCTCTGAAGAAGCTCCTTGAAAAAAAACTGCTGAATCTGTGAAGGTTGTATCGTATACTTTTGGCATCTTTCGGCATTTGGTTTGAGGGTGAATTCATCGGTTGTCGTTGACGAGCACTGCATGGAGGAGGCAGAGTCTCAAAAGAAGTTACCCCCCCACATCTAGACTGCAAATTGGCCCTTGGTCAAGTGGGATATGTTTCTACCGATTGACAACCAAGATGATATATTCTCATGTGGTATCCCGTGTTTCTTCAATTGAAAGTGCCGAAAGAATCCCACCTTCAATCACATTCATGGTTTTTTTTTCTTCGCCGCCAGGTGTTGTAGTTTTTTTGCGGCTGTGCCGTGCTCTACAGCTCAGTCGCTGCGGTTTTGGGGCTGTGGGTGGGTCACCATGGGCCACTTAGGTTGATCCATGGCCGATCCAAGTTCCCATTGGATCAGATCGTCCTTCTCTTGGGCTGCCGAAGGCTACACGAGGAGCTTCCGATGGGCCGTGTGGCGGCCGCGGCAGAAGCATCAGGGTCTCCACTGCAGCTTCACCTGGCAGTCAAGGGGGCATTGGCCTTCTTGAGGAGAGTGGGAGGGCGGAAGAATGTCTTTAGTCATTTTAGTCTAAGGATCTGCGGTTGCAAATTCACACGCACACCTCAATCGTGGAAGGAGAAACAGGTAGAAAACAGGGCCGAGCTATGGTGCAGTCATAGCTGGTCAGAATCCACGAACATTTGGATGTCGCAAACCAAGATTTAGACACGAACAGAGAGACATGTGAAACTTCTGCTCTCAGAGGCGTGAGGGTCAGGGACATCGTGAGCGTCAAGACGATGCTGAAGAGATGTGTGAAGAGCCGGAGACATTGAAGCTGATCCTTCCGAGATGCGTTCGAGGTTGCCGAGAGCGCCTCATGCCATTTAATTTGCAGCAAAGCCTTAGCGACTTGCGCTGGTCAGTGCAAAGCATTTGTGGCCTCTCTCCTGCACGGATGAGACTTCTGCTCGATGGTGATTTCGATTTGTCCTGCGAGGATGAGACGAGCTCCTTGGAGAGTTTGGGCTTCAAAGATGGATGCCGTCTTCTCGTGGAACAAGCGTGTGCGGATGCCGTGAGTGATTTCGATATGCCTGTGGATATCCCATCCACCGGCCCAGCCAGTTCGGTCTATGAGGCCGCAGCCACAAAGCTTGGCATGGCGGACTCTTCCAAGCTATCCCTCTTCGCAGGAACCGAGCTGATCAATCGCCATGCCGACCTCTCACTGGCACCCATCGCCGATGGGGTCGTCCTCTCTGCATACTGCAACTGGCCACTGAAGTTGCCTGTGGCAGTACTTCAGTCAGGAAAGACTCAAGCAGAAGCAGACTTGGGGCTTCCAGGCCATTCATTGTATGATATTGCATGACATATATACACTGTGTATATATATACACATATTTTTGGAAGAATTGCCTCTATTTTTTGGCTGACATGACATCCACGTTGATCCTGCTTGCATCACTTGGAATCCAGAACAAACACAAGATGTCTTTTTGCTGCCTAAGGTGAAAATCTACTTAAGACGGGGAAGCCTTTGTTAAAAACCATCATAAAACAATTAGAGCAATTCGCATGCTGGCCATCACTATTAGGAACAAGAAACTACTAGGTGGAGGCCATCGCTACTAAGTACTAGGTTGGAGGCCATCGCGATGGCCTCCACCTAATAGCGTCCTTGTTGCTAGTAACAGAAAGCACGTGTTTTCCCTCCGAGGCCAAGTGACGGTCCGCAGCTGCGACACCGTGGCCGAAGTGCGTTTGAGGCTTCTGGCCGCGTGCGGTGCGGAGGCGCGGGCGGAGGCCGAGGCGGCGCTCGAGGGAAGCTTGGCACTGGCAGTGGATAGCGAGCTTTGGCAACGAGAGGGCGCCAGCATACAGAGCTTGGCTTCTTTGGAGGACGGAGAAAAAGGGAGCTGAAATCAGAGAAGCGAACGGTTGGCTGATGACCATGTGATAGATATCAAATTGTACAGTGGCTTTTTAACTTTTTGACTCTTCCTTTAAATGGCTTCATGGATGTCTTGAAGACTTCAGGTTCCCCAAAACGATGGTTGGTATAGTCGAAAAAGTAGACCCTGTCAGCCGGGGCTGTCTTCTGCTATTGGCACAGTCCAGGTTTTGTTGGGCCACTTTACCCCATGCCCAGAGACAGCTAGACTCTCTCGCTTGGGCATGGCCGATGGCGGCTGCCATTTGATCTTTGTCACGAAGCGCATTTTGTCCGTTGAGGTTCAGGCCGGAATAGTGCCACAGTTCGTCGAGACACTTTACCTATTGCACATAGGGAGCGCTGGGGGTGGAGAAGCCGCAAGATGCTTACAGTAGCTTGGGCAGATGTATCCATTGGCGCCTCCCGTCAACAAACCCAGAAAGCTTGATATGAAAAAAGACTTCTAGGTGGGATGGTGGGGAATGTCTACACTTCCACCACCTAGGCTCCAGAAAACCTGTGCCTGGTAGGAGTTCCTTAACCATCCCGACCCCCCCCAAGAAAGAAGCTAGTAACAAAGGGCATCGCTACTAGGAGCAAGGACGTTACTAGGGGCTCCTGGCACTACTACTAGGAGCAAGGACGCTACTAGTAACAAAGGGCATCACTATTAGGAGCAAGGACGCTACTAGGGGCTCCTGGCATTGCTACTAGGAGCAAGGACCCTACTAGGAACAAAGGGCATAGCTACTAGGAACAAGAAGCTACTAGTAACAAGGGCATCGCTACTAGGGGCAAGGACGCTACTAGGGGCTCTTGGCCGTACTACTAGGAGCAAGGACGCTACTAATGGCTCCTGGCCGTACTACTAGGAGCAAGGACGCTCCTAGGGGCTCCTAGCATTACTACTAGGAGCAAGGACCAAAGGGCATCGCTACTAGGAGCAAGGACGCTACTGTAGTAGGGGCTCCTGGCCATACTACTAGGAACAAGAAGCTACTAGAA